TGTGTGTGTGTGTGTGTGTGTGTATTAGGTGTTTCATTATATAAGAAGCGACTAAGGCGATTAAGAAATCAAAGGTAGATGCTGGTATATATAAATGATGAACCTAGATTTTTCCCGAGGTATAATAATGATCTAACGGTAGTTCAATCCGAGAGTAGGGTTTTCTGAAAATTATTGCCTCTCCCTAGTGAAGTGGCTATGGGACTAGAGCAATTTTTTCTACCTAGCCTATGTACGGGTGGGCTTCCACTTTAATCTCATGGTTAGGATATATAGCAAAAGGACAAACATTACAGAGAGGAAGTTGTGACGAACCAAGATAGCCCACATCCTGAAGAGAAGCGGCACATGGAAGACATTTATAAAATTTTAGTGTAAATGTAATATTTCTTCTCCATTTTAGAACAGGTCAAGTTAAACCTACATTTTCGAGAAAATTGCTATAATCTTTTAAAAATCCATAAATCTATTGATTGATTTGTTTTACGGTTTATCAACTTTTTTTAAGCCATAAAATATTTTTAGATTGTAAGAATTTCTTTGAGGTAATAATGATTTATTGATACAAATCCTATTAATTAAACCATAGCTGGGGAAAAAGCAGGTATTCCTTAGAGGCCACCCATCTAGTTAATGACCAAACTTGATGTTGCTTAACTTCAGTCATTGTACGAGAACCGAAGTTTCTACGTGATATGACCAAAAAGCTGAAATCTCTTATTAAACTGTATATCATGACTACATTAAATAAAATGGTTGTTTTGTTTTTTCGACAATAGAATTTACAGAAAATGATATTTAGGAGGAACGTAATACATTTTATTTTAATGAGTACCCAACACAAAGAATGGTTATTCAAAATTTCCCCAATTCGCTTGGTCACTGCATCAAGTAACCAACTTTTTCTGGCCCTGGCCATCTTACTGCAAAAGATTGGTGCCGCCTCAGTATGAAACTGGGCCTAAAGTAATATAGTAATTCAATATTACTTAATTTCATAATTATATTATCTCTGTTAATTATGTATTGCCTGTTTATGACGTCATATTTTTTCTTTTTAGTTAGCTTGCTTCTTCTCAGCAATTTACTGTGTTATTTTTTCATGCATTTCTGTGTTATTTTTATTAAACTGTTATAATTACTCTTATAATTATTAATTATAATAATTAATAATTTATTGCTTCGTCTTCTCTATGAAGGAAGGCAACGTTTGAGATTAAATAATCTGAAAGTCCATGATTTTTCTTTCGAAATGAAAATCACTGACTCCGTTAATTTTTATCATTATATTTATTACTCCTGATAACTCCGCGACTATGCTAAATAGTCCGTCAATTACTAACTACAAATGGTGCATATATCTGTTGTTAAGTATGACAGCTCTAAATTTAGAGAAAAAAAGAAAAAATGATTTGTCTTGATTAAATTGCAAGTCAATGAGTGGTCTAGTCATATAATTAAAGAGATAGAGGACGTCGTAGTTGAAATACGTATTTTATTCAAACATAAGTAAAATCCTGAGATTCTAATGTTAATTCTATACAAAGACTTTACCCACTGAGACAAAACTTCCCCTCTGTATTTTTACCCCTATTTAGCTTGTTTTAATTTTTTTAAACTGATCTAGGGACTGTAAACAGTAGTTACGAAAAATATGTCACCTTTCATATACAAAGGTGTTTATCCAACAAAGCAAATGTATGTTTTAGGTTGGTAAAGTCACAATTGGAAATGCGTGTCAATGGATTTACAGGATATGTCAATTAGTTTTATCCAGACTCAAATTTTTGAACTGTACAGATAAGGTGTGGTGTCCGATGGCGCACAGCTTTGCCAAGAATTGCCCGAAGTATTTTATAGCCTACATTCAAAACGATCGTTTGAAATCCCATTCTTTAATTTTCCTTGACTGAAAAAATATTTTGTTCACTGTTTTGATTGGTTGAAATACATATTGATATTATATATTTTATTTTATACATTTGGCAGGAACTTTTAACTGTCGTCTGCATCCTCTTCAACTGTAAACATTGCGTTTTCGAAGTAATAGCATTCACTTTGTGAGCAATAGGCTTTGTATTGTACTAAGTAAATATCGATTAAATGAAGAGAGATTGTTTTATGTTCCTACACAATAACTATACACTTCTATTTAAGGAAATCAAATACACGAAGCTATACATGTAAACTACCAGTAAAATACAACACTGTTATTTTTAGAAATTGTCATCAAGCAAAAGTGTAAATATTTCATCATAGGCTGAAAGGGGAAAATAATAATAGTATCACTTACATTCTATCGCCAGAAAGTGTGTGAATAGCTTTTATTTTGTTTCAATCAAATGGAGACATTGATACGTTGTTAAGGCTACCTCATCCCGTCCTCTCTTCTGAAGCACTAAAAGCATTTTGTTTTACTAATGTACGTACTTATATCAAGTGAACAGCGAAAAGAATCATTTCGTTTGCCACCCCCGATTTGAAATTGAAGGCATCGATGATCCACCTGAAAATTTCTTGGCAGATATTAAATGAAATAATTGTATTTCGATTTTTTTTTTATGTAAAGACGGCACTGAATCAAATATATAACAAGATGACAGTCGTCCCGACGATAATGATACTTACAATAGTAATGGTGATAATAACGATTATAATTATTATAACGATGGTGATGACGTTGATCCTTATGTGCGATGTTCATTCAGGACGTATGAGATCAAGACTCTCTGCAACTTTCTATTCTTCGTAGGCTCTTAACAATGTTTATCTGCTTAATATTGCTCCTATATCTCTGCTATCTATTTAGTTCCGTGGTGCTTCGCCTACATGTATTTAAGCGTGCTACTAGATTGGCATCTAGGTCCCACCTGTTTATTTTTGAAATAGCTAAATGCAACCGCCACTTCTACACCAACAGTTTCTTTGTTGCACTTCCCGCCTTCCGATTACTTGCTTCCCTGATAACTACAATCTTCAAAAATGTAAATGCAACGTCAATCGCCATCTTCTATCTTCTTGAATCTCGTTCACTTTTTATCCTTTCCTCAATCCTTCCTATACCTGTAACCCTCTGCGTTATAGTGGCATTCTCACCTTGCTTGGGGTGAAATTAATTTAAAAAAAAGGAAAAAATGTTAAGTTAGTCGCTGTTTCGCTCTGCCCGTCTTGATATCAATATATCCTGTTAGTGTCAAATTCTCCACGCCATCTTTCCTTATTATATGTATGTAGAAACTTCAACTGTATACTTCTTATTCTACGTATAATTATCCGTATTGCTTTCATTTTCCTAAAAAAAACTCGTTGCTCACATTGCTTTGTCCATGGTATTGTCATTATCTTTCTGTAGAACTATATCTTTGCTGCCTGGTCTCCTCTTTATTACTGCCTTATATGAAGATTTATATTATATAACAGTTCAGATCTCTTTGGTTTGTTCGTAGTGAATATGTCTGGTTTCGTAATACTTTAATTTCTGGAAGACATATTTTGCTTATGTCAATGTCCCGTAGGATTCCTATGTCACACTTTTCATTGTATGTTAAAACACTTCCCAAAATAATTAAATTCCTTTACTTGCGTCATTTTGACATCTCTACTTAATATCACGTATCTTGCGCTGTTCCCTTTTGCTAATGACCACAGATTCTTTTTTTTACTGTCGAAGGTTAGTTCTTCCTTCCCGCTTTCCTTTACTATCTTGTCAAGAAATTCCTGTAGTTTTCTTTCGGTGTCTACCATTAACACGGTGTCATATGCATATCTAATATTGTTAAGATTGTGTCCACTAATAATAATTTCTTATTAGGATAAGAAATAACAATTTGAATATGATTATAAAATGATACCAAACTATAACCTGTAATTTTCAAATATTAACCAATGATTATTTTTCTTCTTTCAGGGCTTTGTTATATATATGAAAATAATGTGCAAGAGATATCAATTTTAAAGTTAATTTTTAGCCGAGTTTTCTCATTGTATATCTTTTTTCAGGGAGTGGGGCGATCATGGCTCTCCAAAGATTCCTTGACTACATGAAATCTTAGGAAAGATAGTGGAGTAGTTTACCGTTGTCTTCTCCATGATTTGAAATAAAGTTTTCCTTCTCTTAGACTGTTTGCCACCCACGGCTACTTAGTCTACACTACTGTTTATACAATAGCGTCCGAGAGAAGAGATGGATTCATGCTTTTCTCAAGGGCTCTAATGCTAAATGAAATTACAAGAAAGCTAGAATTTGTGTTCGGTTCACCGATTCCATTGTCCCGCTCCAATAACTATGAGACCAATAGCTTGATGCAAATTTTGAAACATCACCTTCCGACAGTGGAAGTAAATGATATAGATTTCTTTTAAAATTAAACATAATATAGACTGTAATTAATAATTATAAAAGTTCAAGACGCCTTCTTCGCATTGACAACATGAATTTCAAGTGTTTCAAGCGAAATTTCATCCGAACAACGCTTTATCTAAGGTATTACGCTTTCTCTCTTTTCAAACTGTCTTACTTGCTTTTAGGCACGTTTTGAAAGTTTTCACTACAATGTCCAAACGAGATTATAATTTACAGTATTCAAAAACCATACTATAAATTGTGCAACCGTTGCGTTCAAAATGTTCCTGTTGCCCATAGTGTTATGAATGACTAGATCATTCTAATGGAACAGGAAATATCTTCCAGATATGCAAGCCTTTCATTGATAATTAACTTTTAAGTTAAAAAGATACGTTTTTATTCAAAGCTAACAATTTAGTGATAGATATATTTTCCAGTTCGCAAGACTATATATTTTACTAGAAGTTTTCGTATATGACATTAGGCTTTCTCAACTGGAGGCCATGATTAACAATTATTTTTCATTGACTAATACTTTATTTTTCATTGACTAACACATTATTTTTCTTCTTTCAGGGCTTCTGAGAATAATGCCGGTTATGTAAATGTGACCGGTAGTAAAATAATGATTAAACCAACCGGCAGGGTAAGGTGGATGGTACCGCTGATGATCAAGTCCTCATGTTCCGTCGACGTCACCTACTTCCCTTACGATCGCCAACAATGTACGGTGCGCTTCGGGTCCTGGGTGTACGACGGTGATCAACTGAACCTATTCACACAACCCAGCGAAACGGATCTCTCAAAATATGTGGAAAACAGTGAATTTGTGCTTCTTAATGTCAGCTTGTCGAGGGTTGTAGCCGATAGTGACTGTTGCCCCGGCGATGGTTGGCATCCAATGATCCATTTCACAGTACAAATCAATCGGAAATCCCTCTATTATGACTACATCGTGATCGCTCCAACGCTAATGCTCTGCGTCATGACTTTAGCCTCTTTTCTATTACCTTGTCACTGCGGAGAGAAAATAGCTATCGGTCTGACTGTCTTTCTCACATTATATGTACTCGAATTATTAGTTGCGGAAAATACACCCGATTCTAACGCCACTCCAATTCTAGGTAAGTATTTTTTCTGCTGAATTCTAGAGAGCAAATTAATGTAAATAACATACCATGATTTGTCTGTTTGGAGAAATGCTTATGTTGGTACCAAATGCATATATTCGATCGCAAATAATAGCCAGAATTACGAATACCAATTTCAAGAATGGTATGCACGACCTCGCTTGGAATACTGGCAGAACGTAATATTTTTCTACTCCGCTTTACTTATTTACATTATTTACATTGTTCGGGCTGTAGTCCTCATCTTTATTGTCATATTCGCGACGTTTCGGCTGATGTACGCTTCTGCCTTCTTCAAGTGATTGGAATTTTGAACTGCGGTAAATTGTTCTAGTTCCACGTGCCATGCCACTTGCAAATATCTAAGTTTTTAACTCAACTCTCCAAAGTTTTGTTCATTACTGCAATAGTCAGGTATTACACTCTCAACTCTTTGGGTCAAGTCAGTGGATCCAACCAACTCTTATCCACTGTGTGCCATGTGTCCTTTTATCCACATTGGCCCAGTGGATAAAAGCGTTGGTTGGATTCACTGACTACTGTCGGTTGAATTTTATAAAACCTTTTTCTTAAAACAATTTTTCATCAAATTAGACTTCTCAAATCCATTGTTATAATTATTTCTAGTATTGATCGGAGTTTTCTTTCAAAGGTTTTGTTTTTGGTAAAATTAACGTTCGTTATATCATTTTCTCTTCTAGTTACATGTGCTCTCCATTTTTCTTGTTTCCGCTGTTGGAAATGTTTAAATGATGCGGGTTTAGTTATTTGGTATATCTCTTGATTTATGATTGTGTAGCGCCAGACTATAGGGCCTGATGAAGTATCATCTTCTTTAAAATCGTCTACTTCTTGAGAAATTCATTAATAAACACGTGCGCAGTAGACATAAGTTCAATTCTAGTTAAAAGGAATAACAAAATGTTTGGTTACTGATGAAGCTACTGTTTTTATACAGTTTCATGTTAAGCCACCAGTGACCGTTTAATATATATAGAATGATTAAAAACTGAGATTAGTTAATCTTTCTTAATTATTACTTTGTCATTAATAACAATGAGTGATCAAAGTATTGTCAATTATGAACATTTCAATGTATTTTTCTTGTCAAAAGAAAAGGAAAACGTGATGAATAACTGAGATTCAGTCAGCCAATTTTGATTGATAGTAGATACAGATGTCTATTTATCTGACATTTATAAATCATTTTAAATAAAATATTTAAGATTCCCAAACTTGGCAATTCTTCAAATACAGTGCGTCTAATTGATATAAATGAAACTACCAACATAGGGCTTTATAGGAACTACTTCACGTAATTGAACATAATTTTATTACGTCTCTTTGTGGGGTATATAACGCTGCCCATTATTTGGTAACAACAAATGCAATGTCAAAACAACTGTAATTTTATTCTCTCTAGCGACAAGACATGTTGAAGTATTTTTGTCAGTCACTTCTATAACTCGAATTGATATGAAGTTAATAAAGTCTATCCACACAAGCTCTGAAATTGATGACTTGAATTGTATATTTCATTTGATGGCCATATTGACTTATTTGAACCAGTTTTGATTTCATTCTGATATAAACTCGAATTTTTAAGTATTTGGTGGAAGGGTAATATCAAGTTATAGCTTTTCTAAGTTTAATTACAGTTAAATGAGAAATACCACGTTCTGAAATAATGAATTGAAAGTGGAAACGCTTGCCATGAAATCCACACTAACAAGTAGTTTTAAATATTAATTGAAATTAAAAAGAACATTCTTGTAAGTTCAAATACTTGAGTATTATTATATGACTTTGGAGTTAACGTTAGTGTTAGAAACTCCACTGGAGATCATAACTTTATAGAATTGAACAAAAACAGCTGCAATTGAGATTCATGAATAAAAAACGTAAAGGATTATTAAAGCCTAACAGGCACTAATAACAAAACATATAAATGTATAAATTTATAAAAGCTGAACAATTGGGAAGAAACATTCTCTTTGCTTATGAATGTCCATTTTGTTTTCCCAATAAAATCCTTAACAGTTCTACATGAAAATTGCTCAGTTCATATCAAATAAAATAATGAAATAATTTTGATGACGATATTTTCATCTTAATTTTTGCATGTTTACAACCAGTCAGATCATCATTCCACGACCTTTAGGAAAGAGCAGGAACTGGAAATTAGAACAAGCTAAGACGAAACTCAAACTCAATGACATTGTCACAAAGACAAACATTTAAGGCAAAAAGCTGTCGGGTTCGAGTCTCACATAGAAATTGTTCTTTATTTTCGATACTTGAAATTTACACACAGACACATGATAAACTGAGTTACTGAGAGGAAAATTAATTGCAACTAAGATGAAAAAATCTTAAATAATTTTTCACAATGCTTCATCTAATAAAAGTTCACAATATTATTTCTACTAGTATGACAACGATTGTATTAAAAAACTGAAAACCATCATCATCCAATATGGCAGCATTGAGCAACGGAGGAAATAAAATAATTAATTATATGTTTAGATTTGATTTTTGGCTAAACGATAAAGCAGCTGTTACAGACAGACCTGTTTGTTTCTTCGTAAAAAGAATGCGAGTTCCAGTTTCGCCAAAAGTTTACTCTTTATTTCTGAAATTATGAAAGCCTTAAACTGATAACCTTTGTAACTGCTATAAATCACTGAAAGTAAAATGAACCATTCTTTTCAAAAGTTAATGATAGCTGAAAAATTAGCAAGACTAGACAGATAAAATAATTCGGTTTTGAAATTAACATAGTTAAGAATTAATGCTTATACGGGGCTACATATATGATCGAACAATATTAGTCTCATTACTATAGTGATGACAGTAAATGAAGATTATCGTAATAAAGGTGATAATTATGATGATAACACCATCGACATTGATATCCATCATGATTATAATAAAAAAAAACAATTATGGTAATGAAGTTAATAGCATTTATAATGATGACATTTCAGCCACTAAAACAAAGCAATTCATGTTCAGCCTCGTTACATTGGGACTGACGTAATCCCAATGTCATATTTTCTTAAAGCTTCACTATGATGTATAGACATAAATAGATCTTTATTTTTCAATCTTCATTTCTTGGTTTTTCTGGAAGTTATGCAACGGTTTTTATTTCAAATCTATCAACAGAAAAGTCTGAAATATTACCCTCATCAATTATTTCCCGCTATCTTTGTTATAAATCATCGATTTTTCATTCTTTTCGTATAAAAACTGTTGTGATTCAAAATTATAAGTCATTTTTACAAAATCCGCATCCTAATGACGTAATTAAAAACGCTTTTGCCTAAATTGTAATTCTTTTATGAAAACTTAAAACATAGAAGACTTCAGAAGACTTTCTAATTAAGACAGAACCTCTCAACATAATGGGAGGGAAAATTGATGCGTGTTTCTTGATGAAGCCGGATATATATATATATATATATATATATATATATATAGAGAGAGAGAGAGAGAGGAAGAGAGGGAGAGAAAGAGAGAGAGAAATAGGGAAGTAGGCCATCGTTCATGATATTACTATCAGCAATTAATGCATTGTAAAACAAAATGATCTTTTAAATCTAGAGATCTAACCACGTCATTTTCTTCCTGAATTTAGACTTGCAGCAAATTTGGCATTGTACCTATTATTATGAAGATATATGAAATTCGTATATAGAAGATACAACTACCATACTATCGGGTAGTTTAATATGTCGTCTCATCAAAGTAACATTCGTCCTTATATTAACATAAATTGTTAGGCACTGATATTTCCATTATTATGCGGTACATACCCCAAAAATGTGTATACCATACAATGTTAAATGTAATAAGAAGACTTCTGACTATTGGTGCTTAATAATATCAGGTAGCCTAAAATCATGGAATAGATTTTTTAAATTTATGTAATAAATGATAAATTGTCCATCTTTTAATCCTTTAAAAGGGAATGTCTATTTAGCATTTTTGCTTAGTTTCACCAGGTGCTGAAGAAGTCGCCTGACGTCTGTTGAAACCAATAAAAGGAACATGCCAAGATTTATTATATTCCGAATACTTTCGTCCATCGTTGATTATTTTCAGGAAAACTAGGTAGAAAGTGTAGCGTTTATGTTGTTAACTTCCGAAGTTTGAAAGGGACATTAGTTCGTATGCTATGACTGTAAAATCGATTTTAGCGTCATGTGGCTAAAATGACTTTATGGTTCAAAGGCATTTTAACGCTTTGTATCAAACGAAAACAAAACCATTATTAATAAAATGTGTTTCAATTTGTTTCAATCTTGTCTCACCCTAGAAATGTAAAGTTATTTTGGCAACGTGACGCTAAAATCTATTCTGCAGTCATAACATGCGAACTCACGTTAACTTTGGGCCATTAACAACATAAACACTACTTAGCGACTTTCTACCTTCTTTCCTTGAAAATGACCAATGATGCATAACACACAATTTCGACAAGTTTCTTCCTAACATCGAAAGACTTTTTCGACACCAGGAGAACCCACTAAATGTCTTAAGACATTATTTGTTCGTTTTATTTAATGGAACATGTTAAAACGAAGACTAAATATATTACGTTTAAATTTAATCTAGTGAATAATTTTGATTGTCGTTACTTGACGTCAATGTAACGCACAAACGCTATCCTGATGAGTGTAAAAATATTTTAAAATTAAAGGAGGAATAACAACCACTGTTTTCACTGATCTTGATATCGGCAAGATCTATTGTGAAAAGCGGCCGATAGTAAAAATCTGGACAATATTCACATTCATTACATCTCAACATGCGTGTTATTTTTATGTAAACAAAAAAGTTAAGTAAAAACTAAAAAATATTACTTGTCTATGGCAATTAACATATATTAAAGACTGCCTATATAAACACTATTTAAATACTTGAATAGTAAATATTAGAAATAGGATGCCAACACTGTCACGTTATAATAAATGACATAAAGAAAAATT